GCTGCTCTAGGAGGGGCAGAGTCCTGGCTGCCACCCACGCCTTGTGCTCCGACAGGAAATCCTGAAGAACCTCAGTAAATGAGCCCAATTAATCTAGACCCCCTGAGCTGCAGCTTCAAAACAGCAACCAGAGGCTACTTCCTCCTCATTCCACTGGACTGAGCTTCACTGCTCCCAACCATTCCTGTGGTCAGTGCTGAGGCAGGAGCAGGGAACCCCTGCACAGCTGGTTACAGACACCCCATGCTCCGACAGGAAATCCTGAAGAACCTCAGTAAATGAGCCCAATTAATCTAGACCCCCTGAGCTGCAGCTTCAAAACAGCAACCAGAGGCTACTTCCTCCTCATTCCACTGGACTGAGCTTCACTGCTCCCAACCATTCCTGTGGTCAGTGCTGAGGCAGGAGCAGGGAACCCCTGCACAGCTGGTTACAGACACCCCAGGCTCAGCTCACCCCTGGGCTGAGGTGGCTTTGGCAGACCAGGAGCCCAACACAGAACCACGAATGGTTGAGGTTGGAAGGGACCTTAAAGACCATCAGGTTCCAACCTCCCTGCTATGAGCAGGGACACCTCCCACCAGCCCAGGCTGCACAAGCCCAATCCAACCTGGCCTTGAACGCTTTCAGGGATGGAGCAGCCACAGCTTCCCTGGGCAACCTCTTCCAGTGCCTTCCTACCCTCATGGGGAAGAATTTCTTCCAGATGTCCAACCTAAATCTCCCCTCTTTCAGTTTAAAACCATCACCCCTTGTCCTGTCACTGCCCTCTCTGTGAAAAGTCCCTCCTCAGCCTTCCTGGAGCCCCTTCAGGCACTGGAAGCTGCTCTAAGGTCTCCCTGGAGCCTTCTCCTCCCAAGGCTCAACACCCCAGCTCTCCCAGCCTGGCTCCAGAGCTGCTCCAGCCCTTTGATCATCTCTGTGGCCTCCTCTGGACTTGCTCCTACAGCTCCACATCCTTCCTGTGCTGGGGGCTCCAGAGCTGGACACAGTTCTCCAGGTGGGGTCTCACCAGAGCAGAGGGGCAGAATCCCCTTCCTGGCCCTGCTGGCCACACTTCTCCCACGATGGCAAAGTCACCAGCAGGAGTATCTACATCATCTTCCTTCAACTCATCTACGTTTTGTTCCACTCTTTGTTTCTTGGCCAGTGGCTCTTCTTCCTCTTTGGTGTCACTTCCATCTTCAGCAAGTGTCTCCTCTGCCACCTGACCAGCAGGTACAGTTAAAACTGAAAAATTAAAAGGTGACAAATGACACAATGTGAGAGGTGATTCTGCACAGATGGTTCCCAAAGCCCCCCCTGGAGTCAGCACCTCAGGGTGGCTCTGGAGAAAAACAAGCAGCTTGACAATGCAGAAACCTTCCCAGAGAGGAGAGAAGCTCCAGGTTCTTTATTCAGGGCTCTGAAATACCTCAGGATTTCCCCCCAAAAGGGCTGACAGAATCTGAAGACAGAGATTTGCATCTTGGAAAAACATGTGAGGTAAAACCAATGATTTTGCTGCCTCAGTGACACGATGAGCTGCCCAGAGAGGGTGAGCAAGAGGAACAGAAAAGCTCTTCAGGCCAATTCCGGGTGCACAGTCCCAGTGCTAAGCTCTGAATCAGCTTTACACGTGTGCAAGAGCTGCAAATACTCCAGAGAACAAACCCATTTTAAATCTGCAAACCTGGGGCTTCACTTTGGGAAGCCAGTAGCAAGAACTTGTCCAACCAAGAAGGAGGAAGGCACCACGTGAGCTGCTCAGGGCAGTGCAACCCAAACAGATCTCCCTTTGTCCCCACGGACTGGGAGCCAGGAGTTATTTGTAGTAATTTGGCCAATAATTCTGAGTAATTAACAGCTTTAGAAAAACAAGTTTTTCACTGGTGCAGCCTGTAACCCATCTCACATTGTAACATTTTTTGTGTGTTTACAGGGAGCTGCTCTGCTTCCTAATCCTCTTTTTTTCCTGCACCAACATTAATCCAAAATATGGAGTCTCCCAGGACATGCCCAGGGAATTGCTGGAAGCAGACAAGGATAAGTTCCATCCCTTGAGGAAACAAGAACCCCTGCAGGAGGGCTCTGGGGCTCTGCCTTGCTGTGCTGGGCACCATTTGCATTTGCCTTGAGACACTGGTGGATTCTACTGCCCTGGGCAACTCATCTGGAGATGCAGGAGGAAAAGGTGTGTTTGAGCTGATGGTACCAGCCCAACAGTCAGATTTACAAGGGGGAGGGAAGGGAAAAGGTTGCAGTTTCATCACTTGAGTGATTCACTCCCAGACTGGGAGTTTTGCCACAAACCAAAGGACTCAGATTTTCCTGGCTGATGAGGAGACAACAGCTCCTGCTGCCACCACGTCCTGCTGCAGGTGCCTGTTTTTCCTGCACAGACCCAAACACCAAAGTGCAGCAGGGTGAACTCAGCTCCAGACAAGCTGCTGGCAACACTCTGCTCCTGACTGCAACCCTCCTGGAGCCCAGCAGGATCCATCACCTCCCTGCTGAGCAGCCAGATCTCACCAGCCACAGGGGCTGAGCAGCCTCCATGGGCAGCAGTTCCACTTTTTCTTTTGGAAGTGAATCCTTGGGGTTGGCCCCTCCTTACCTTGCTGCCCCTCCTGCACGGTGAGGATGAGGGGCTGGCCCAGGCTGCCGGGGGGGAGGGCTGTTTGTAGGCTGCCCAGGGGAAGCCCCTCGGTGACAATGGTGATGACACGTTGTCCCCCACTGCCACCACCCACCACCTGCTGCAGGGCAGAGCCCACAGGATCTGCTGCCTCCACGTCCTCTGCTTTGCCTGGAGGAGTAAAGCCAGGGACAGAAAAGAAAAAGCAGTCAGTTTCCTTCTCTCTTCCTTGAAAAGAAACTGAACTCTGGGGAAAAAGCTCAAGTGAGAAGCCAGGAAAGCTGAGGAGGGACTTTTTACAATGGGTTGTAGTGAGAGGACACAGGGGAATGGATTTAAACTGGCAGAGGGAGGTTGAGGTTGGACATGAGGAGGAAATTCTTCACTATGAAGATGGTGAGACCCTGGGCCAGGTTGCCCAGGAAAGCTGTGGCTGCCCCATCCCTGGAAGTGTCCAAGGGCAGGTGGGATGGGGTTTGGAGCAGCCTGGAACGGTGGGAGGTGTCCCTGCCCATGCAGGGGGTTGGAACTGGATGAACTTTAAGGTCCCTTCCAACCCAAACCATTCCAGGATTCTATGTGGTCAAGAAAAACAAGTGGGAAACACAGGAAGTGTTCCCAGAATTACAGAACCCTGCAGGTTGGAAAAGACCTTTAAGATTATTGATTCCAACCATAACCAAACTCTACCAAGCCCAGTGCTAACTCACATTCCTACATGTCAGCAGGAGAAAGAGAATAAAAGTAGAATAAAAACAGAAAAAAAAAAGCAGAATAAAACCTCAGCAGAACAAGTGTGCTAGAGTAAACCCAGCTCTGTGTGCACATGGACAGTCCCAGCATCCAGGCAGATTAAACTGAATTACAAAGCCTGGAGCTGGAGGCAGCTGTTGAGCAGACCTGGCTCTGCAAAGCTTCCTTCCCCAACCCTCCCCCAGCTCCAGCCAAGACAAAGCACACACAGAAAAACCCTCCAAGAGCCACGGCTGCTGGAGCAGGGACAGGAGCCTCTGGAGTTGGGCTGGGGAGCACAGGGCGGCCCCTCGCCCCGGGAAGCTGCTCCTGGGGCTCCCACCAATCACCAGGGTTGCAATCCCAGGGCTGCATCCTGCATTCCTGGCAGGAAAAGGAGAGGATGTGAGCAGCTCCGCGTGCCAGAGAGGAAAAGGCTGGAGCTGGGGGGGGTCAGGAGATCAGCCTGTGGCACCAGCAGCTTGGAGGAGGCAACATGCTCTTCTCTAGGAAAAAAGCTGAGCTCTGGGGACAAGAAATGAGCTCCAAGGTGAAAGGATTATGGAAACTTTATCAGATTCCTGAATCTGAAGTTAATTAAAGGTCAAACATGACATTGTACAAACATACCAGAAAAATATAATTAAAAAGCAAAACAAAACAGACAAAAAAGCCCCAACCTCTCCCTAAGGAGAAGCCTCAAGAGTCTCAAAGCAGTTTCTTAACTGTGAGCTGGGAACAGAAAACATTTCAGGCCATTTCCTTCTTAAACAAATATTTATCTACGTTTATTTACAAGGTAAGCCCACCTTCTGGAGCCTCCAAGTTTTGTGTTGTTTTGTTGTTGTGGTTTTTTTAAATACAACTGCTACAATCAAGAGCAACATCCTGTGATGTCAGGGCCAGACATGCTAGTTAATAAAAATTAAATGACTTTTGTCGGTAATTAACAGTGAGCTGGGATTTAAAAAAAACCCAATCCACTGCTTCATAAACATTTATTGTCATCTCTTCCTTAGCCTGGAAGGAGACAGTTTCACTCCCACATCTTGCATTTCCTTGGATTTCCTGGCCTGACACTCCCTGGGCTGCTCTCCCTACCTGTGTGGGCACGACGCGGCGCGGAGGCCCCGGCCAGGGCAGCCAGGGTGGCCAGTACTGAGGTGGTCGTGTCAGAGAGGACACAGGGGAATGGATTTAAACTGGCAGAGGGAGGTTGAGGTTGGACATGAGGAGGAAATTCTTCACTATGAAGATGGTGAGACCCTGGGCCAGGTTGCCCAGGAAAGCCGTGGCTGCCCCATCCCTGGAAGTGTCCAAGGGCAGGTTGGATGGGGTTTGGAGCAGCCTGGGCTGGTGGGAGGTGTCCCTGCCCATGCAGGGGGTTGGAACTGGATGAACTTTAAGGTCCCTTCCAACCCAAACCATTCCAGGATTCTATGTGGTCAAGAAAAACAAGTGGGAAACACAGGAAGTGTTCCCAGAATTACAGAACCCTGCAGGTTGGAAAAGACCTTTAAGATTATTGATTCCAACCATAACCAAACTCTACCAAGCCCAGTGCTAACTCACATTCCTACATGTCAGCAGGAGAAAGAGAATAAAAGTAGAATAAAAACAGAAGAAAAAAAAGCAGAATAAAACCTCAGCAGAACAAGTGTGCTAGAGTAAACCCAGCTCTGTGTGCACATGGACAGTCCCAGCATCCAGGCAGATTAAACTGAATTACAAAGCCTGGAGCTGGAGGCAGCTGTTGAGCAGACCTGGCTCTGCAAAGCTTCCTTCCCCAACCCTCCCCCAGCTCCAGCCAAGACAAAGCACACACAGAAAAACCCTCCAAGAGCCACGGCTGCTGGAGCAGGGACAGGAGCCTCTGGAGTTGGGCTGGGGAGCACAGGGCGGCCCCTCGCCCCGGGAAGCTGCTCCTGGGGCTCCCACCAATCACCAGGGTTGCAATCCCAGGGCTGCATCCTGCATTCCTGGCAGGAAAAGGAGAGGATGTGAGCAGCTCCGCGTGCCAGAGAGGAAAAGGCTGGAGCTGGGGGGGGTCAGGAGATCAGCCTGTGGCACCAGCAGCTTGGAGGAGGCAACATGCTCTTCTCTAGGAAAAAAGCTGAGCTCTGGGGACAAGAAATGAGCTCCAAGGTGAAAGGATTATGGAAACTTTATCAAATTCCTGAATCTGAAGTTAATTAAAGGTCAAACATGACATTGTACAAACATACCAGAAAAATATAATTAAAAAGCAAAACAAAACAGACAAAAAAGCCCCAACCTCTCCCTAAGGAGAAGCCTCAAGAGTCTCAAAGCAGTTTCTTAACTGTGAGCTGGGAACAGAAAACATTTCAGGCCATTTCCTTCTTAAACAAATATTTATCTACGTTTATTTACAAGGTAAGCCCACCTTCTGGAGCCTCCAAGTTTTGTGTTGTTTTGTTGTTGTGGTTTTTTTAAATACAACTGCTACAATCAAGAGCAACATCCTGTGATGTCAGGGCCAGACATGCTAGTTAATAAAAATTAAATGACTTTTGTCGGTAATTAACAGTGAGCTGGGATTTAAAAAAAACCCAATCCACTGCTTCATAAACATTTATTGTCATCTCTTCCTTAGCCTGGAAGGAGACAGTTTCACTCCCACATCTTACATTTCCTTGGATTTCCTGGCCTGACACTCCCTGGGCTGCTCTCCCTACCTGTGTGGGCGCGACGCGGCGCGGAGGCCCCGGCCAGGGCAGCCAGGGTGGCCAGTACTGAGGTGGTCGTGTCAGAAAACTGCCCAGAGTCACCTGCTTGGGAAAGAGGAGGGAAAGCTGGAGGGTTGGCAGGACCTGCCCTGCCCCAACAGCCAGGGAAGAGGACAGACTGCAGCCATTTCATCAACCCGAGGGCAGGACAGCAGGTGTCAAGTGTTTTCTAGGCTGCCACTGGATCCTTTTCATGAGGTGCCTCTCCTTGGATTTTACTTCAGGACAGACTGAGTATTTGATGATGCTTTTAAGGAATTTAAAGCAGATCTTCAGCTATTTCTCAACCACGTAACAAAAAGAAGAGCAGATGTGAAGGGATTTGCTCCAGCTCCACTGCCAGGACCCCAGGAAAAGGCAGGCAGGCTGCTGGGCATGCCACACAAAAGGATCAAAATTGGGGGTGCTTTGGGTAGGTTGGAGGGACCTTCAAGATCATTTAGATCCACCCTCCCTGCATGGGCAGGGACACCTCCCAGCAGCCCAGGCTGCTCCAAGCCCCATCCAACCTGCCCTCCAACACCCCCAGGGATGGGGCAGCCACAGCTTCCCTGGGCAACCTGGCCCAGGCTCTCCCCACCCTCACACTCCAGGATTTCTTCCTTGTGTCCAACCTACATTTTATATTATGTGTAATTTTATATTATATTATGTTTATTATTCATAATATATTATTTTCACACTATTTCACCCTGGGGTTTTCTTTCTATTCTGAACAGCAAAGCTCCCTCTGGAGTCTCCATCCCTGGAGACATCCCAAACCCCCCAGGACATGTTCCTGTGGGATCTGCTCTGGGGGATCTTGCTCTAGCAGAGGGATTGGACTGGATGATCTCCAGAGGTCCCTTCAAAACCCAATCTGTCATTCCCTGTCTGGCCAGGAGACACAGATCTTTTAAAGACCCTCCAGCCCCAGAAGAGCAGTTGCTTCATGTCCTACTCCAGCTTTCAAAACCTACAGGGTAGATCCAACTCCTCTGCTGAACTAGAGCACCCAAGCTCTTCCTCGGGTGGGAAAGCCTCCAAGAAGTCTCCAGCATTACCTCATGAACCAAGGCACTCAACAGCCTTGTGCTCCAACTGGATTTGGCTGTGTCATTCCAGCAGGATTTCAACCAACTGGGCATAAAACTCCCCTTTTTCCCCCTCCCCAGGGTTAGTGAGGAAAGACCACGATTATGGGTATTGATTTGAACCCGACAAACAAGCCTTCTCAGGCCTAAAAAACAATGTTTCTTCCTCCAATTGACCAGAGTAATTCCTATTCAAAGGCAGATGTGGTAAGAATGGAACAGGAAATTAACTAAACGGGCCCAAACTCGGGGCCTATGAACACAATTCCTCTTGGAAAAAAAAAACAAAACAAAACAAAACAAAAACCTGTACCTCACTGCCAGGACAGATAAATAGATTATAAGCACACAAAGGGAAGTTCAGCTCAAGTTCCCCTGCCTTAACCCTTGCAACCTCCAGCTCCTGGTTTTACAGAGGTTATTGAGGGACTTCCTGCTCCAATAACAGAGAATTTCAGACAAGGCCAATTCTGGGCTGGAAGTGCTAAAGAAGAGATTTTTGTTCCAAGGAAGGCACAGTCGCTGATGCCCTCTTGTGGGAAACGGGGGGAAAAAACCTCCTGACGTGGCCCAGAGCTGGACACCAGACCCTTCCATGCTGAGGGGCTACTACTGATCCTTGGAGTGTCCTGGGGAGAAGAACCCAGGGAGTTTCAGCCCAGCCACACGTGGATAATAAGCCACAGCTGAGTTGAGGTGCTGAGGAGGCGATTAAGGCTGAGGGTGTAGGAGGAAAGAGCTAGAGAGGTGGGGATTTACCAGGCCAGGGCCAAGAGCTCATCTGCAGCTGCTCACCCACACACCAGGGGTAGGTCCAAGGGGTAACACGAAGGCAGAGAGGGGACAGGATTGATTTCCATACCAAAGAGATGGAAAAAGAAGGAAGATTTAAACTAAAGAGCTGCACTCACAACAGGAGACACTGACCAAAGTGCCACCTGGCATAGAAAAATCCCAAATTAATCCCTCTAAGTTTGTGGAATATCCTGGCCTGAAGATGATCACACTGCTTTCTCCTCCCAGGTGGAAGAGGAAAACTCTGGGTCATCTTTCCCCCTTGTGTATCAGGATTCATCAGTGCCCCAAAGCTGTGAGCAGCCCTGAAAGCTTTGGGAGCAAGTCTGGAGGGTTGCTGTGGGCAGGCAGAGACAGAGCTCTGGGTGGGACTGCAGGGTGGCAGGATCTGGGGTTTGGGAAGCACCCTCTAGATGGGTAAGCAAACATTCAGGCATGTGAACAGTCCCACTAACCAAAGAATTACTCACATGCAGAAGTGTTTGCAGGATGAGGCCAAATAGCTTCAAAAAACTTGTATTTAGCAGCCTCGAGACTGAAAAGAAACAATGGTTTGGATTTCCCCAAACACAGAAAATTCACTGGAAAGGTCACGATGAAAACCAGAATCACAGAAACGTTCCTGGTGTTTTCCCCACCAAAAAGCAGGTTCACAGAACAATGAGGAACCTGATTATTTCCACCCAACACATGGGACAGAAGAAATAAGGAGTAAGCCACACACCCCACAGACCTCTGCAACTTCCTAACTCAACATGTCCAGCAAAACCCTCACTCAGCCCCTGCAGCCAGTGAAGAGCAAAGCAAACCCTTCCCCAGCAGCACCCAGGCCCTGGCACAGGCACCAGTTCCCATTATTCCTGCCTTGCAATCCCAGGCAGATCCACCTTCCCGAGCTGTGTTGCTGGTGACAGGCCTGGAGCAGCCCCCACAGCCCTGTCCTGACACTCACACTGGAACCACCTTTCCTGACATCAGATAAAAGCTGTTTTGTCACCTTGTAGGGCAAAACAAAAGGGGGGCAGGAAGCAGCAGTCGGTGTGTTTGGCTGGTTCGCTGTTCCTCTCCTACATGACCATCTGCCCTCTGCTGGTGAGCAGCCTGAGGAGCTTTTTTCAAATATTTCAAAAGTCACAGAAACACTCACCCGAGGTTGTTTTGGTGTTTGCTGAAGACACAAGACCAGCGAGGCTGAGAATTTCCCCTGGTGCAAGAATAAGTGGTGAGGTGAGAGTGACAGTGTTGGTGACAGGGTCTGTTCCCTCTGGGTGAGGGCCGACCTGGTTCTGCATCGCCTCCTAGGAGAGACAGGGGTCAGGCAGACACTCCTCACCATCCTTGAAAGGTTTCAGATGCAAATTATCCCCCTCTGCAGCACGTCAGGGACATCAGTGCAAAAGCTGTGACCAAACTTGGCAAGGAACACCACAAACACCCAAGAGGCACAGCAATAAAACCCCATCACCCCCCAGGCCTGAGCAGACACACGCCAGCTGGTCTAGAAACACAACAAACCTTGTCCAGATCCATCTTCCCAGTGCTCTCTGCAAACAGAAGATAGTCCCACTGGACACAACACAATCCCTCTCACTTGAGCACAGAGAGCTGCAGGTCAGAGAATCACCAGGTTTCTCCTTCCCCAACCTACCTGCAGCATCACCAGAGTCTCTGGATTGTTCTTGTCCAAAGCAATATCAAAAGCTGACTTATCAAACTTGCTGAAGGCGTTGACATCAGCTCCATACTTGATGAGCAGCTCCACGACATCGCGGTGGTTGTGCTCCGTGGCCCAGTGCAGAGCTGTCATCTTCAGCATGTCCTTGGCATTGACATCAGCTCCACTCTGCAGGGAATAAGCCTTAATTACCTCACAGGGACCTCTGGAGACCATCTAGCCCAACCCCCTGCCAGAGCAGGGTTGCCTACAACAGGTCCCACATGCAGAAGGTTTGTGATGTCTCCAGAGTTGGAGACTCCACCACGCCCTGGGCAGCCTGTCCCAGGGCTCTGCCACCCTCACAGTGAAGAAGATTCTCCTCATGTTTAGGTTGAACCTTCTATGCTCCATTTTGTGCCCCTTGTCCTGTCCCTGGACACCACTGAAGAGCCTGGTCCCACCCTCCTGACCCTCCCTGGTGATATTGATCAGCATTGATGAGACCCCCCCCGCTCAGTCTCCTCTCCAGGCTGAGTACCCCCAGGTCCCTCAGCCTTTCCTTGTATAGCAGATGCTCCAGCCCCCTCATCATCTCTGTGGCCCTGCCCTGGACTCTCACCAGTAGCTCCTTGTCCTCAGGAACTGAGGGGCTCAGAACTGTACCCAGTTCTCCAACTGCATCCCCACCAGACCAGAGCGGAGCGGCAGGAGAACCTTCGCAGCCTCAACATCCCGAAGGGTGATGCCACAGCCCTACCCCCCAACCAGCAACCTCCACACCTCTAAACCAGCCTTGAAACGACCCCTCCTCTCCAGCACTCACCCTGATGAGCAGCTCCACCACCTGGGCGTGCCCGTCGGCTGCTGCCATGTGCAGGGGGGTCCGATCCACCTTGGTGCGGGCGTCCCGGCTCACCCCGGCGCGCAGCAGCACCTCGGCCGTCGAGTAGTGCCCGTGCTGGGCTGCCAGGTGAAGAGGGGAGGTTCCCAGCTGTGCCAGTTGAAGAGAGGACAGGCAGAGGCGTCACCACCTGCACATCCAGCAGCAGATAAAACAAACAAACAAAAAAACCTTCCGGAAATAACCAATTTAACCTCTTTCTTTGGAACGACGCGGCCGCGCATCCCAGCACTTTTCTGGCAATGTTTTAAGTTTTTTGGGGGCTTTAGGTGATCTGGTAACTTGGGAGATCAAACGTGCTTTGACTTTCTCTGCTGTTCCATCCATTATCCCCGAGCTGCTTTTGCAAACCCCAGCAGAACTGCTCTGTTATGTCTGTACCATGACTGGTCGTGTCCCCACCGCTCAGAAAAGGGCACCATGATCAGGCTCTGCTGCCTCTCAATTAATTCCTCCCTCTCACAAATTCATGAATGAACAAGCTGGTAAGTTAGGAAATACAGACAATTAGTGATGTCTACTGATGGCTTTTATCCATTAGGATCCAATTCCCTGTTTATCCAACCGTTATCCTTCAGTTTCCTTACAGCTCTTGCTCCCTTCTCACCCCAGGAAGTGCTTGTTTCTTTCAGCATTTTGATTATTTTTTTTTTTTTAAGGATACAAACAAACAAAAAACCAACCTGGAGATGAATTTTTTTGATTGAGAGAGTGGAACCAATTAAACAAAGCATGCTTAATGAACTCCCCGGCCGTACCCAGTCGGTGGTGAAGGGCGCCCCGCGCGCCATCAGCTTCCGCACTTCGTCATCTTCCCCTTGCCGAGCTGCTTCCAGCAGCCTCTTCCCTAGATCCACCAAGGACATCTTCACACATGGGAGCGAGGATTTCCCGAGAGCTGCTTGGAAAGGTGGAAGGAACAGAAACCAAACCAACAGCAAGTGAGGCGGCGGGGGGGGTTTAGAAGCACTGCAGAGCTACAGCCCACCTGGACACCCCGTCCTCTCAGGCAGAACCAGGCCCAACACCAGCAACAAACAGACATAAACATTCATTTTTTTATTAGTTTTGTGGGGTTTTTTTTTCAGTTCTGTCCCCTGAAACATCCAGAAAAGGCAGCACGGAGGGTCATCAACCAGGTCAGACACCACAAGCCACCTGCAAGATGAGTGGCTGAGTCAAAGATGCCCCTCACCTCAACAGCGCCTTGCACGGACACCAAGACTTGCCCATGTGGATCCGGTTCCAAGAGCTGAACCTGTAAAAATCAATAGCAAAGCTCTTCAGGACACCATTTGGATTTTTAAAGTGCTCTAAAGGACATGATTTAACCCCCCAGACCTCCTCTCTGACCCCAGCACTAGCAACTAAGCATGGGGCTCTATTCCAGTTCCCTGCTGGCGAGGGGAGAACAAACCTCAGCGACTCATTTAAGGTCCTACCAGGAGCAGATCCCAAAAGCTGCTCTCACAGAACCAGCCCCTCTGTTCACTCCCTGTTCATCCCGAGCTCCACCAAGCCCAGCACAGCCCTGCCCAGAGTGCACAGCAGCATTTTCCCAGCGGGAGGGCCAGACTGGAGGGCCAACCCACCCGGAGACCCGACTCCACAGTCTCTCCATGAGCTCAGGGACGCTCAGTCAGCCCTGACAAACCAACCTCTGTGCAAACGGGGCCCCCGGCACCACCAGGGCCCTCCTCTCCCTTTTCCCCTTCAATCCCACCCCTGTGGAACAGTTGGCAAAGAGGCTCCCGTTCTTTCTTCATTCTTTCAGGAGAAACATCCTCCCTGTCCTTGGTGACCAACAGAACCAGCCACCATTGAAACCAAACAGCAAAGCTCCCCAGGCTCCATCTCCCCAAGATCCCACGTCACCTCCTCCCCCCCAAAAAAAACACTTCTCTCTTTTTAAAAAGTTTTTAACCCTTTTTCCAGCTCTTTGCAGTTACCACGTGCAACAGCCACAAGCCCAGAGCAGTTACTCAGAGTTTAATTACAATCAGAACCTCTGATGTATTTCTGGTGCCTGCATCCCACCCCCTCTGCTCTTCAGGACTTCCCAGTTTGGGGTGTTTTTATTTCCCCTTTCTCACTTCTTTGCAGATCAGAGAATATATATTTATTTGTTTATTTTTTTACACCTTCCCTTCGTGTCTCCCACGTGAAAACACTTGCATGTTTTCCAGGCAGGAAAACTGAGCTCACCAAGTTAACTGAGTATTTGTGAGGCTGGAGTTGGGTGCTCCGGGTGTGTTGGGGAGAGAAAAGGAGAAGCTGGATCATTAACAAAAAACATCAGTTTCTCTCCTGGCATTAAACCCAGCCCTTGTCACTCGTTAGTTAATTGGAGGCCTTGCCCTCCTGCCCCGTTCCCAGCTGGATGATCTCAGGGAGGGTTGAAGTTTGAAGCTCCCGGGCTTTTATTAAAGTTATTAAAGTTATTATTAAGGTTATTTAGAATATTCAGGTCTTGAGTCCTTGTACCAACAGAACCC